AGTTGAATGTGTCAGCATTCAAGTATATATATATATATATATATATAATTGTTTTAATTTTTTTTAATGGCAGCACAGATTAGATTTGCTAAATAGCTTTTGAAATAAACCACGAGGCTCCTGGCACTATGCCCTCTTGGACCAAAAAGACCAAACAGGAAATGTTTGACCATAACACGCAGCGCTGCAAACGAAGAAAAACAAACACAGCGTGTCAACATGAATACCTCTCCATCTGTCAAGCACGGTGGTGGAGGGCTGATGATCTGTGCTCGTTTTACAGCCACAGGACCTGGGCACTGAAACAGCTATGATCCTATCAGTACACCAAAGTATCATCAAGTCAGATATTACTGCTTCGCCTAAAATAGATCCTGAAACACAACAAAGATCCCAAACACCGGAGCAAATCTTTTACACCAAGGATTATTTATGAATATTTATTCTTTGCTATCGTTTCTGCAGCTCGTTGTTGAGCAGAGTCGCTGAACACTGGAGTTCTTACTTGAGGACTGTTAATAATAACTTCAGCCAGTATGAAGCCAGCAGCTCACTGGGCTGCAGCTGTTGGAGATGATCAACCACGACGAACAGCGACGGTCTGAATCTGCAGAGCTGCAGCCATGAGCTGAAACCTTCATGATTCAGGATTATCAGTCGGTTCTGGGCAGCAATCGTTCGGACACTTAAAGGAATAAAAGGCCCCGGATGTTACGTGCTCGAGAAGAGACGTAAAGAACCCTGAAGGTCCTTCTCACAACAAACCTGCAGCTCTGAAGCGTTTCAGGAAACGCCTGCAGGTTGTCTGTCATCAAGCTGGAAACACACGATTGTTTGGAGATTTTACTCAAACTTTTCTGTGGCCCTCAGTGTCTGATAACTCCTAAAAATCTAAATATTCTCCTCTTTTTTTTTATTATTGTTGCACCTTTTGCCGCACATGGTTGTCGTTTTACGTGTTTGTCCAATGATGAGCGATAAAGCTGATTTAGGGTGCATTTATTTTGATACAGGTTCATGGATTGTTTTGCAGCTACTGTTACACCAGCACTACCCATAATGCATTGTGGCATATAACAATGGTGGTTTATAAGGAAAACAATTCTGTCATCAAACAGCACCAATAAAAGACGTGATGATGACAAACCCTCAGCGGTTAGTAAGACACTTCTCCCTCTGACTCCTCTCGTTACAGCATCTCTACTCTGAAATGTCATTTTTACTTTTATTTGTGGTTTAAATTAGCCTTGTACAGATGTTTTTAACAAACTGATTGTCTGAATTAAAAAAAAAAAACAGGCTAATATTAAAATGTACTGTTTTGAGCCTCAGTAGAAAAGATTTTTAACTGTGTTGTTGTTTTTTTTTAAATACAGACGGAGAATATATTACGTATGAAATAAAGTGATGATGATTATGTTCAGCAGAAAATACATTTTCCAAGATTAAAGCTGCCAAATCCCTCATGAAAGCTCTAAAACACACGAACAACTGAAATCAATCTGAAAAAAAAAAATACATTTAGTTCATTTATTTTATTTTTGAACTTTTTATTGAATGAACACAAAATGTCTAGTTTTGTGTTCATGTCCTGTTTTTCCCATGACTCCAGTGAAAGCTGACAAAACATCAAAATTAGCTCTTTGCTTGCTTAATTTACTTATTTTTATTTACTCTGGCAGAAAATATAATACGTCAAACTTAAATGACACTTTCATAAAGTAGATGATCGTGTGTCTCGTTTACACTTTGAACAAAATATTTGTTCCTCTTTAAACAGACTTATAAATTTCTCTCTGAGCCATTATTTTTATAGCTTTCAGCAAAATGAATTATTTTCAGTTTGAGGGAGAAAAGCAAAAAAAAAAAAGAAGCAATTATTAGAACATAATTTAGCATTTACGTTATATATCTGTCTTTAATTTCTTATTTATTTGTCAATTTAATTCTTATTCCTATGAATTTGATTAATTTTACGTACAAGCAGCTCGGACAAACCTCAGCCTGTGTCAGGTTTATTACTCATTATTTTATTTGTAGTAAAACAAATGCAGCAATGAAAGATGATCCAAACAGATGTTTATTTCTTGAACAAACCAAACAAACTATCATTTGTGTTTTACATTAATTATTATACATTTTATTATAAAATGGGACAGATTTGCACACATTTAGAGTTGTCTCTGTTCAGCTTTGTTTTAGAGTAAAATGCTGAACAATTTTGTTTTATAATTGTATAAATGCATAATTTACATCTCACAGCTTTAAACTTATAGCTTATTTTTAAGCCATATTAAAGTATTTTATTTTAACATCCTATTTTCCTTTAAAAAACAATCCTTGTTGATGTTTTGAAGCTTTTGTCTTTCTTGTTAGAATCAGTCGCGTCAGAATGATGTAAACAGATTAGTGTTTTTGATGACGTGCGTATTTAATTTCGTTTAAATTTTTTCCACATCTCATGTGTTTAAGTCCGTGGGTGTCTCCTTCAGGGAGGTGCATCGGTTTTGGTGTCGGCGTGTGATTTCGCCGCACGCTGCCAACTCTTGGTCGAACTTCCAGCTCTGGTTCTGATGAAGCCTCGAAGGAAGACAAAGGCCTGCGAGAGCAGACTGGAGCAGAGGGAACCCAGCAGAGAGCAGACTGGAGCAGAGGGAACCCAGCAGAGACGCTGCGACAGGCAGGCGGCCTGCAGCCGGTGCCAGCTTCTCTGAGGAAAGCCCCCGGACCACCCAGCTACAGGGGGATGGGGGGGGGTTGCTCTTCAACACTTCACCTGCCTGCCGTCAGAAAACCAGCTCTGTTCTGTGGAACCGATTCACTTTCTGCTGGTTTCACAAGACGACTCCGTCCTGACACCAAAACGACTCCTGACAGCTGCTGTTTGGAGCAGCGCTTCACAAAGCTTGGTTAGGACCCCAGCGTTGGTCACAGAACAGCACCTAGGGGGTTCCTGGATATTTACAAATGTTTGCCTATAACTTTTCACCGTATTTTACAAGGACTATCAAACAGATAAAAATGATTTATGTGGATGTCAGGACTTTATATCCTGATGCGTGCTCAGTAATCCAGGTGAAGAAGTCTTTCAGATGAAAGAAGAAACGTTTCTATATTATTTTTTTGTTTGTTTTTTGAACTCGTCCAGACGACCGGCTAACTTTTTTGGGTCAGGACTTTACATTGCCAGTTTAACGCGCTCATATTAAGTCGGGTTATTCAGTTTTTGGACGTGTAAAATGGCAAACGTTGGGGTCAAAAGCCACAGTCACAATCATGTTGTGGGTCAGGAGCTGCTGCCTCGGGGTCCTCAGGTGAACCTGCAGGATTCAAAGCTCTAAATGCTCCACAGAGTTATAACAAGGGTTTTTAACCTCTCCAGACTCGTCAAAGAGCTTCAGTGTTTCTCATGCACCCTGACACTCATACAGCGCTAACATTTAGATTTTACACTTGTGAAGCCGACTCAGACTTAAGTAGATCAGGGTCAGCCTGGGGTCACAAAGGACACTGCAGGGGCTGCGAGTCAAACCCCCGACCCTCTAAATTGAAGACGGCCTCCCCGGGAAAAGCACCCTGAAACCTGCAGCTGTTATCAGAGTGTTCCCACAGAATCTGTGATGATAAACAAGTCAGGAGACAATAAACCCATCAAGATAACAACCTCTAATTATTGGCTTCACCACTTCTCTCATCTGTTGCTTACATTTCTTTTAGAGTCCACAAAAGACAAAAACAAACTTATCTTTGGGATCAGTTAAATAATATTAATAAAATCACCGCGTGTTAGGTTGATGTCATTAAACTGGTCGGTTGTTGACACATTTTTTGGACTGAATATTTGTTGGAGCAGCTCTAAAGATTCTGCTGCTGTCCTCACACTGATGGGCCAGACTTGCATTTTTATTTTTGCTCATAATTTAAACTCCGAAGGCATTTGTTTTTACACTTAAAAGATCAGACACACTGCACCACTAACACATCTTAAAGCCCCACACTGTTTTTATATATATTTTTTAGTAAATTCCTGTAATGTGTTTTTGTCAATTTAATGAAACAGGAACAATTGTTGAATTTTAAAATTTACCTGAACATTTTTTTTTTTAGTTTTAATGATAAAACAATATTTCTGTGTATGTTTATAAGTGTTTTTCTTGCCTTCTGCGCTGTTGGACAACAGCTCAACAAACGGCGCACGGCACGTGCTTTTAACATGTTTCTCCCCCCTTCCACCCCGCAGCCTGCGGCCCCCCGGGCCCCCCGGGCCCCTCTTACCGTTGGTAGTCGCTCCTGCAGTACAGTTTGGTGTCCTTGCAGTAGCAGGTGGCGGTGAGCGGCTGCTGGCACGCGGCGCACTGCAGACACTCCTCGTGCCAAGACGCGCCATTGACCCGCAGCAGGAAGCGGTCCGAGATGGTCCGCGCGCAGCCCTCACACACGGCCTGCGGGGGACACTCCCCTGCTGGGAGACACGCGAGGGGGACAAAATAAGTCTTGTGCAGGAGGGACAACGAGAGGACGGGGGGACACTTCACCTATAGATGATAAACTTGACTTTTTGCTGCTGTGATTAAAAAAAACAAAACACTTTTCATCAGGAGACCAAAAATACTTTTCTGTTTTTGGTTTTGATGCTAACGAATAAACAACCTTGTTTTTATATATCTTACATTTATTTTTAAGAATTTAATCAGCTTCAAGAAGCCTCCAAAACTTATATTTTTACTCAAATGCTTGGTTGTAAATTGTTTCCCACATTATATTCACAAGCCCCCAATTTAAATCTCTCCCTGCAGGACGGCTTTAATGAAACTGTTGATCAAATCATTAATGTGGATCTAAGATTGGATAAATGAAAAGATTGTGAGGTCAATTTAATGATTTATGGAGTTTATTAATTATCCTTTCTGCTGATCCCCCCAAAAGAGGAAAATATTATGATTGTCTATTAATTTCTGGTGCACACTGTAAATAAAAAAAAAGAAAGTGTGTAATTCTGTAGGAATTATTGAATCCACAGAAACAACATTATTATTATTAGGGGTTTTTTTTTTTTGTTTGTAATAAAATATGTTGAGAAGTTGTATTTTATTTCACGTTTTTAAATGTAAGTAGTTATTCCTGGAGCAACTTTATAAACTTTAAAAGACGTGAACTGAATGAAGAGCTCACCTATGAGCGCGTGCAGGGAGCCTCCATCAGTCCTCAGCCTCTCCTCCACCTTAAAGTCCTGCAGCATCTGCCCGCGAGGCGCAGCGCGCACATCAGCCGCGCGCGCCGCACTTGTTGCCAGCTCCATAAAGTCCCTGTCAGCCTCCTCCTGCATGTCCGAACCTCTGACGGAGCCGGAGGAGAGACGCGAAGCTGGGAGCTCCTGCGCGCGAGCGGATCCAGAGGTGCTGGAGACACGCTGATCCAGATGTGCTGAGTGGGATGTGGCAGCCTGCGTGGCTTTCACCAGAGAAGAAGGGGGCAACAAAAACCCCTCCCCACGCGCGCTGAGATCTGTGGATGGATCCGCCTCCAGTCCGTCTGAAAATTAAACCCCAAAACATAAAAACATAAAATAAAAAAAAACAATTTCACAGTTTCAAACCACCGAGCTGCACTAAAAACACAGGACTCACCTGCGGGCCCTCCTCACCTTCATGAAGCAGATTTTCCTCTTTATTTATCTTTAAAACTAAGAATGAAATGAAGGAAATCCACCAGTAGGCTAAAATATTATATTTTAAAATATAGGCAATAAATAAACTCTAATTAGAGTCACACGTTTGTAATAAAAATAATGATAGTAATTATAATAATAAAAGGAAGAAGCAGGTAAAGATAATGAATGGACGGATGGATGGATGGATGGATGGATGAATGGATGGATGGATGGATGAACGGATGGATGGATGGACAGATGGATGGATGGATGGATGGATGGACAGATGGATGGATGGATGGATGGATGGATGGATGGATGGATGGATGGATGGATGAATGGATGGACAGATGGATGGATGGATGGATGGACAGATGGATGGATGGATGGATGGATGGATAATAATAGGTCAGAATAGTAATAAAATGTTTGTATAGACTTTAACCTGCAGATTAAACCCCTGAAGGCCTGATGTGATGAGGTGACACATCTGGACTCTGTTGAAGGGTCCTAAATGCAGCTGTGAGCTGATATGAGTTATTAGAAATGATGAGCTGTAAAAAGTGTGGACAGATGAAATCTGTGCGTCTCCTCCCTGCAGCTTCACTGCGCTCCATTCAGCCGGTCATCGTCTCATCAGCAACAAACCTCCAGATCCATCCCGTTGATAGAACCAGCAGGAGAAGCAATAAAGAGCCTGTGTTCATGGAGGGGGGTGTTCATGATGGGGGGGTCAGCTGGCTGATAGAGATCTCTGAGTTATTACAAAGAACAGAGGAGTCTTTGATGGACGGAAATTAAACTGTTAATCTGAGTCAGTATTTGTTGGTCTTGTCTGCTATTGTCAACTGGTTTCCAGTGTGCCACTCCTGTCCTGCGGTGGTGGCTTACAGGTCAAATGGGCGTTTGAGGGTTTTAGATTGTGGCACTTTTCCCTTCTCTAACCATAAACAAAAAGTTTATCTTCCTATAGATCAGAATCACAGCTGACTGTTTCTCATTATTAAATGTAACATATGAAATATTATTAAAACAAAAATACGTACACATGAAAATGTGTGATTTGTGAAGATTCAAAGTCATGCAGGATACAATAGATAAATTCAAAGACAATCATGTTATTATTTTAATTGAAAGCTCTTTTTAATTGTGGCGGTGTTGTATTTTTGGAGCTGCACATGTAGCACTGATACTAAAGTCCCACCTACACACCGCTCCAGCTCATCACAGAGTACCATGACACGTTCCTTAAGTCTCAACTAACTCGTTAAAGCAAACAGCTCAACAGAAATGATCTAAAGTCTACACTTTTGTTTCTTTTTAGCCAGGAAAATGTGCGTTTGTTTGTATGGATGGGCGGGACTTAAAAATTGTACTGCAGTCTGACACTAGGGGGCGCATGGCCTTCAGCTTCCTGCTTCCAGTCGTGTGTCTAGCTCATCCAGAAGAGCTGCAACTGAAAATGATCCTAACAGTGTTTTTCACACAGTTCACTTTTGTTTGACACAACTTCACGGTTCTTCCAAATATAAAATAAATAAATAAATAAAACAGGGAAAAAAGCAACTCGGAGTTTTCCAGCATCTTTTTCTACCGTTGTAGTTTATTTTGAAAGGATCATAAAGTGGAAACTATGGTGAGCTTGGTTTACTGCCAAAGTATGTTCCTCTGCGTCCACTTTGATCCATTCAATGGAGGAAAATGAAAACGAGGAAGCCCCCTGATATAGATTTAGCAGCAACACACGTCTAAATCATCGACTGGATCGAGCATTTAAAGAAAAACTGAATAAATACAAACTCAGAGTGTTTTTGCTTAATTTGCCCATCCAGACAGATAATACTCTAACTGAATAGTCTTATTATACTGAAATATTTCTACATTTTATTTGTTTATTGTGATCATGTTATCATGGGCGGTTGTGGCTGAGTGGTTAGAGCAGTCGTCCTCCAATGCAAGAGTTGGAGGTTTGATTCCACCAGCAGTCACATGCCCAAGTGTCCCTGAGCAAGACACTGAACCCCTCATTGCCTCTGATGTGTGCCCCATCGGTGCATGAATGTGATAAAGCTCTGATTATTCTTTGTGTAGATCTAGATGTATGTTTGGGTAAATGAGGACACAGATGATATTGTAAAGTGCTTTGAGTATCTTGATAAGATAGAAAGGCGCAATATGAGTACAGTCCATTTATCATTTTATTTTAATTGTGTAAATATTTTTTACATCTCTGGCTCCACAGAGGAAGAAGAAAGGCAACACTTGTTTGTGAACTGATGAAGCAGGCTAGGACTTCACCCTTCTATACAGAATGATGGAAACCTGCTGCAGACAGAAACAGTAGCTGTGCATATATATATATATATATATATATATACTAATCCAAATATTGTTTCATTTAGAGAAAAGAAACAAATTCAACAAAACACTTTGTACCTTTTTACAGACAGTCTCTGTAGAAACTGGCTGCAGTTCTGACTGAGAGATTAGAAGTTTTTCATTAGTCTGTAGAATATTTTCATGTGTATTTTGATAATTTCCTGTTTTTTATGACACATTTTGTGTTTTAGGTCATAAAACACATTTGGTGAATTAGGTCGATAGCAGGATTCTCGTGGCTGTTGTGTTTAAGTTGAATGGAAACGTGCTTGATAAATAAACAGATCTCAAACTTTATTATTGTCGCTGTCCAGGTGTATCCGAGTGTTCATTTGTCTGCTGTGTTAGTAAAATATCTCATAAACCACCAGATGAAATTTAGAATGGTGGCAGGAAATAAGCATTTGTTCTTCTTGTAAATAAAAACAATTTAACTAGTTCAGTAACACTGTTATATCAAATTTTATGTCCTAGCTCACACTAGATAAAATAATACATTTACATTTTTAGAGGTTTTTTTGTCAAAACATGTAAAAAGTACTTGAGTTTCACTACATCTATGTCCAACTGTTATTATTTATTTTCACAAACAGTCCTGTTCATCTACAGCAGACAGCTGCTGGGTGATGATCTGTGTGTGCGTGTGTGTGTCCTTGTTTATGCTACTTTGTGAGGCCCATTTTTCCAACTTATACTCCATTGTGAGGACCAACTGCTCCTTATGGGGCCCAAAGCCCGGGCCCCATAAGAAGAAGTCCCATTGGTGGGTTATGGGCTAGGTTTAGGACTAAGGTGTGAATTGAGGATGTGTTAGGTTTAGGGTTAGGTATGTACTGGTAATGGTTAGGTTATGGATAAAGGTCATGGTTAGGCTATAGAAATGAATGAAAAATGAATGGAAGTCAATGCAAAGGCCCCACAAAGATAGCAAAACAAACCTGTGTGTGTGTGTGTGTGTGTGTGTGTGTGTGTGTGTGTGTGAGTGTGTGTGTGTGTGTGTGTGTGTGTGTGTGTGTGTGTGTGTGTGTGTGTGTGTGTGTGGGGACAGGCTCTTCAGCCAATTCTGACACCCAGTGGACAAAATGCACAAAATATACCAGGCGAGTGTGTTTTAGTGCAGCACTTTTAAAGATCTGATCTTTCAAAGTGAATGTTTTGATCCACAGCTCCTTTTGTCCGAGTAACAAAGTTTTACTTAATATTTCATCAGTGTGTGTTTAAAACTTGTAAATACTTCAGGATGGCGACAGATCCTTCAAATAAAGCTTGATTGCTCCGTGGTTCCTCTTGGTGTTTTCCTTAAATCTGTCCTGCAATTTTCAAATTAGCCGTACAGAAGACGTAAAAGCGGAGCTGTGATCTCGAGTTAAAACAAGCCACAGCCGAGCTGAAGAGACTGTCTTCTGTTTTACTGGTGCCTCCAGTTTACACGAGACTCTTATCACAAAGATCAAAACAGACCTGCCACGTTCAGTCATGATCAGAAAACATAAAGGTTTTTAGTCTTCTTTGATGAAGGCTTTGAGTGTCAGGATGTTGAAAACAATCTTACCAAGTTTTAAAAAATTTGACTTGAAATTACAAAAATCTTCTTATATTTCCCAGTTTGACAAGTGGAACACATTTTGGACAGGAACCAGTCTCTCCAGCCAATTCACTCCAAGTTCAGACTGTGCAATGAGAAACATCAGACGACCTTTAACCTCAGTCAGGTGTTTAACGGTTAAAGTTCATATCTGGAAAGTATATTTTTTCTGTTATCTCCGTTTTTATGGCATGACTGCAGGTTCCACACAGAGACCGAAACATTTTTGGTTCTGATGTTCCACAAATTCAAGCGGTACTGCTACAGCTGATTTACTTTAGGCCGGCCTAATTCAAGATGGCTGCTACAGTTAATCAAACAGCAAACACAAAAATGTCTCCAACATGAGACATGTAACAGATTTGGACTTAAAAATTGGTCTTGTGGTAGCTGAGTTACCATATTTTCTGGCGCATAAGTCACAGTTTGTTGCATAAATTTGCAAATCCTGCGACTTATATACGTTTTTTTTCCTCCATACTCATAACGCAATTTTTGGCTGATGCTTGAAATGAATTGTTCTGACATGAGCCAGAGTAAACATTACCATTTGCAGCCACTAGATGTCTGTTTGCTCAGGGTCAAAACAGCCTCAGTTCGCTGCGCCGCTCAGGCGGAATGAAGC